GTTTCTCAGCGGGTGTGTCACTGAGCGAGGAAAATCGATTAGAAACGTGAACGGGTCATATATATATATATATATATATACATATATGTATATGCATACATATATATATATATATATATATACATATATTTATACATATATATACATATATAAACATATATATATATATATATATATATATATATATAATATATATACACACACACACACATACATATATGTGTATATATATATATATATATATATATATATACACATAATTTTCTGGGGAGGAACCCCAGATGACCCCCACCCCTACCTGCCACCTTTGCATTGTTTGGTTTACAAATTAAGCATTAGATAATACTACAATTAGCAAACACATAGGTCAAATGTAGCTGAAAAAGCTAAATTTAGCAGAAAGAAGCTGATTGTAGCTTTAGCAGAAGAAAAGCTGAAATAACAGGTTATAAACAGCTCAAAGGAGAAGGATGTGGTGAGCTCCATTCATTTTAATGAGCCACAAACAGCCCAAGCTCGAATTGTTCATCAGAACCACTTTAAGAAGTTTGGTTTAAAATTTTTACACAGAGGGATTTTCCAGAACCTGAAGTCAACCCAGATTCTGTCAATTCAGCTAATCTCTAGTCTTTTTTTTGTGGTTGTTTGGGGGGGGGGGGGGGGGGGGGGGGGTCGTATAAGACTGAGAAAATCTCCTAAAGAGCCGTGGCGGCCCAAGCTTTTCTCTAAATGTATTTTAATAGGAGGGACCCCTGAGTCCGGGTCCAGTTCATCTCCCATCTCCATATAATGAAAGGGACTCGGGTGTGGGGGGGCAACAAAGGCTACATGTGGCTTTGCCTCATTATGCTGCAGTTAGGTGGAGGCAGGAGGGGCCGGAGCCCCCACAGACAGATTCTGGGGCCCACAATGCTGTGAAGAGGGACCCCGCCATGCCATTATCCCTTTGTCACTAACGAGGCCTTCATGGGCCTTTCAAATAATCCGACCATTCAGTGCTGATAAATCCGACAGCTAAATCCCATTTGTAACGGCTAAAACCTGTGTGAGAATGTGTGTGTGTGTGTGTGTGTTCACTATTCTGGCAGCCGAGGCCACAGAGTCCCTGTGTCGGACCGGACTGTTACTCTGCTTAAATTAGAGAAAAATCCTCTTTCTGCACGAGACCCCCGTGAGCCGATCTGATCCGAATTAGAATAAAAACAGTCTTCATCTTTTCTTATCTGAAAATATGATCTGATAGACAATTACTGGATTAGAGTGCAGTGATTGGGGGGGGGGGGGGGGGGGAAGAGCCAGAGTGGGAGTAAACATGGATTTATGAAATTATACTTTTAGCATCTCTTATTATTTTTAAAGAATCTGAGACAAAAAAATTTAAACTAGATGAGCGCATTTGATTGGACAGCTTTAATGCCGAGAGCTGAAATCTGATGAAGCTGAAACCGAGTACCGTAACTTGAAAAAAGCTCAACTTTACTTATTGGCTAAAATAAGAGAAATATGTTTTAAAGCTAGCACAGTGCTGACTGAAAGCTGAAAAAGCAGAAACTTGCTACAAAGTAGAAGGAGACAAATGTTCACAAAAAGCTAATTTTAGCTAAAAGTAACCAAAGCCTGGTTGAAAGCTAAAGCAACAAAGGTTAGCTAAATCAACCAGTGCCTATAAAGCTAAAGTTGTCATGGTCTAACGTGTGAGGTTGAACCCAGAGTGCAGACAGAACTCAGAAACTAGAGGATGACAAAAAGATATTTATTCAATACAATAACAAACACTTATGTGGCAGCAAAAACTTACACTTTTTACTCAGGAGACAACAGAACATGACGCCACAAGAGACAATCCACAGACAATGACGGAAGGACAAGACTCTGAATAAAAAGAGACACTAACGAGGGTAGAAGGACAAACACCTGTGGTGATTAAGATTGGACTCAGGTGTGAAAAGAGCCCAACACAAGGAGAACCACTGAGGGGTGACTGAAACATGAGGAAACAGAAGAACCAGGACAAGACCCAGTAACTCCACAAAAGAAGCAAAAAGTTAGCAAGAAAAAGTAACCAAAGCCTAAAAGATAAAGTAAAAAAGGTTAGCTAAAAGTAACCAAAGCCCAAGTTCATGCTCAATAATTGACTTAAAAATCCAACAATGTTCATTTCAGGTTATTTGGCCAATTTCTTGTTTTCTGAGACATTTCGTCCTTCATCCAAAAGACCTTCAATCTGAGGAGTACAATACTCCAATATGGAGTATGCTGTTTGTGGGAATAAGTTTGGTTTGGTGGCTCCTGAGATTGAAGAAGTCCTTCGGATGAAGGACAAAATATCTCAGCAAAAAAGAATGGTAAATGGACTGTACTTATATAGCGCCTTTCTATCTTATTTCAAGATACTCAAAGCGCTTTACACTACAATCTGTGCCTCATTTACCCATTATGCAGCACTCTACTAGATCTCTACAAAGCTAATTGAACAAATTATTCTAAAGAGACTAATCAGTGCTTTATCACATCATACACTGATGGGACACACATCAGAGGCAGAGAGGGGTTCAGTGTCTTGCCCAGTCACACTTCAGCATGTGACTGCTGGTGGATTTGAACCCCCAACTCTCGCATTGGAGGACAACAGCTCTAACCACTCAGCCACAGTCGCCCCAATATTTTAAAAGGACCAGTTACCCAAAAAGAGGACATTTGTAAAACAGTCTCATTCTGGACAAATAAAGTCTTAAAACCATCCAGGTGCAGCAGAGCATCCTGCTGACTTCCACAGGTTATTTATCAATTCATAATGAGAGTACTCAAACCACATGATTATGGTTTAGAAGATGAACAGTCATGGCTAAGGTCCTGCAAAGACAAAAAAAGAAGAAAGCATCCAGATGACCTGACTGAACATTGTTAACTAAAGTCAAGTTCAAAGCAAAAAAAAAA